CGATAACAAAACTAAAATTTGCCCCAGCGCATATTTTTCAGATCAACCATGGTAGCTCTTTCTTTTAACTGATGAAAACCGCACTACGGTTACACCTCAAGGCCCAAAAAATACCAGTTAACACGATTTATAGTCAGTCATATTGGCTAGCTTGAAGTATGAAAGGATAAAGGATTAAGTGTACACATCGGTTTTTTAGTGCCTTAACTATTTTCTGCTTAGTGGTCCTTCCGGCAATATTAATGAACGCAAACTTATGAACATTAATGGCTATTCTTTATTTTAGGATCCGGGGGAATACTCCAAATATTAGGTAAGTTATATTGTGTTGATTCGTCATTAATCAGATATCCAGCAAGTCTTTAAGGGGATCATCCCTTAAAAGCTATTTCTCAAACATATCATATTATTTAAGGAGCACGAAATGGGGAAGTCAGAGCAGATGAAGTCATAAACTTTGGGCCGCATAGTGAAAAGATGGAGGACGATGAAGATCACCAAGGAGAAATGATTGGTGAAGGGGCAGTGAAGCAGGTTTGGGGTTCTAATGAAGATGAGGAGGCAATTCTTGAGGGAGCCGAACATGGGTGGGATCGAAAGCGAAAGTCGGAAGAGTTCTCTGGAGGCGTAGATCGCAGAAAGAAAGAAATGCGCAATCAGTTTGGAGCAGCATATGTGATCCCTGATGGCCTTGAACCTGTTCAAGGGTCGGGTTTTGCAGAGAAAGATCGCACGAAGATAGACAGACGTCAAGGTAGATACGGTATGCTCGTTTTGCCAAACGGAAAGGTTATGAAACTTAGAGAAAAGAGTCTGCAAAAACTTGGTCTGATGATGAATGAAGGCGATGATAACAGAATGGGGACAGCTGGTGAAAAATTTAGACCGTTTAGGAATACCAGTAACAGCGAAGGAATAGAGACGACACCTAACGCAATTCCTCGTGAGGGAAAGTCAGGATATAGAGGTACTTGGGGCAAACAATATACACCAGGGGTCTCTTTTGAAGGAAAAGTGGAGTCTTTAGAGGGTTATCCTATGAATAAGGGCAGAAGAAGCGACAAACGGGGTGTTGGAGTGGCAAGTGGTTTCACTGGAATTGTGACCTCACGAGATCATGCAAACGGTACCAACATGAAAATTCTTGTAAATAGGGCCAACTCGCAGATGTTTGAGCAATGGGCGGGGTCACTGAAACCAACGTCATCGGCAACATCCAAAAAAGTACCATTTAATGAAACAAATGAAACAAACGATTCGCTGAGTTCCATTAGAAGGCCTTCGATCATGAGAGCAGCAGCAAAAGTCGGGTCAAGACTTATGAGGATCAGAGGTAAGGAGAACAGCCCTTCTCACGGATACCTCAGTTGTAATATTTTCATACAAATATATTGAACCATACAAAATGAGGAAAGTTGAACATCGTGGTTATTTCTGTCCTAATTATTACACGATTAGCTTATTAGATTATTAGTTTAATAATATAATGGCGATGTTTCACAAATGAATGTGAGTTTTGGGAAGTAGCAAGAACCTTTTTTAGACATTAAATTCAGTAAAATTGTATACGTTCTCTTGTCCCCTCTATTCTTATAATGAACTCAGTGTTGCAGGCGTCCGAAGTTGAAAAAAAAATACAAACTCAGTTGCAGCTGGCGTCTAAAATTGCCTCCCTTGATTCGATCAATTGTTTTGCTAATACACTTAAACTGTGCGATTGTTAAAATATCGTTCACAAAAAGGCCAAAATACATGATACCGGCTCGACGTCCCGATTTGTGGCTCTGCTTTCGTTTATTGCGCAAATAGTTAAAAATTCCATACTAGTAAGGAAAATACATGGTTACATTGGCAACAAAATTGCAGGGAGCAATGTGCTTTTTTCGGTATGAAATAGGGTGTAAAATGATGTCTTAGTATTGTTACCCGCTTATATTAGCCCTTGATAGTAATTTTGAAAGTCCTTTCATACTGCAAAGAAAAAAATGCTTTCCAGTCTTGAGTTCGCCAAATATTCCTAGAAACAATTAAAGTTTATCCTCATTATAAAATATCTAATATACTAAAATGTCTTCTTTTTTTCTTCCAGCTTATCCGAAGCCAGTGGCCCTGTACCCGCTCAGTGATAAATACCAAGCAAAGGACGTGATTGGTGGAAATACCCCTGGAATAGTAAACAACGTTATACCGGCAGCGGGGCCTTTTAACCAAAGCGGAAACTCTCTGTCATTTCTGGGCACCCCGAACAGTTACATCGAGTTTCCAAACAATGGAAAATTAGACGCCAAAAACTCCATCTCTCTCTTGGCGTGGGTGTTGCCAAAACAGGCCGGGCCAATTTTCAACTATAAAACCGACGGATGGGGTGTAAATTTTTGGATGGCCAGGCCCAGAAAACTGTTCGCACGTTTTGTCGATCGCGAACAAAGAGTGCATCTACCCGCTATAAAAAGCACGCACATCAAGCCCAGCAAGTGGAATTTTGTCGGAGCAGTTTATGATCAGAAATCCGGACGAGCGAGCTTGTGGATAAATGGAAAGCTACAAGATGAGCAAAGCATTGGTAGCGTCTCATTGGCTACTAATTATCCCGTGAGGATGGGCGCACGAATCGGCGACAGGCGGAATTTTCGCGGTCGTATATCTTGCATGCAGGTTTACAACGAGGCTCTCAACGCCCGACAGATCAGTGTCGCCAAATGGAAGTGTAGATCGTTGGAAAGAATTAACAAAGCAGCCATGAAGATGAACCCGTCACAAAGTTAACCTAACCAACGCTGGGACTGACTCTTTCGGCTATCTGTTTTGTTTGAAAATTTATAAACGCGTAGAGGAGACGGCAGGGCTTAAAGGAGCCAGTCAAGGTATTTTGAGTTATTTTGGCAAGTACAAAATTACATTTAAATTGAAGGAAACCTGAAAAAAAGTAAATTACTAAGATAGAAAAAAAAAGCAAAGAGATAATAATAAGCCATATAGGACCAAGGATGGTCAAGAATGGAGAAGATTGACTCGGATAACAAACGACGAACTTGAAAAATTTAGGCTAAATTTTTCAAGACGCGCAAACCGTTGCGTAGCTCCTTTAAGTTTAAACAACTGTCATCGTAATGAGTCATAATTGATCAGACATTACGTGATCCAATTGTAATCCATGTCGAATTATAGTTATTTAGATACCATAGCAATCCATGCCCAATAACCTCTTGAGTGCTTATATGACGTATTCAGTACGTCATGATTTTGTCGCTCAGGTGCCTATATGACGTATTCAGTACGACAAATGTTTAATTTAGTCAAACTCTCGACATACCGAAAACAACTTTTTATCGGCACTTGAGATTCGTGGGAGGTTTTCTTGGGGTAACTGCTAATTTTCCCATTGCTTTGACGTCATATGAATATCAAATTAGGTCGACCTCAGCGAAATAAACCGCATTGAAGAGACATTCTTATGACCTTTCAGAAAATGTGTACATGTCTATAGTTTAAGTAAAAATGCTTGTGGCTCTCGAAGTTTCTCACCTAGACCCCCATTTCAGTGAAAATAGTGTGGTACACAGCACATACAATGGTCAGGCACTCAAAGGACCTGCACGACCCTATCACTTGGTGAAAAACCATGGGACGCAAGTTACACGGTGGGACTTTCAAAACAAAAGAAAGTCCAGCTGGACTGGTAGGAGTTTCTTTGTTTTGGAAGTCCCACGGTAACTTGCGTCCCAGCGTGGCTGGTTTTGCACCATGTTACCGGGTCGTGCAAAGAGTGGGTCTATCTTTGGTGTCGACACGACCTCCATGGCCACGATAGTAGACCAAATCTTTTTCTATCTGATTTAGACTCTACTAAACTTCTGGGTGGCAATAAAGAATGACGATTCGAAATGAACATCTGAACCGAAAAGTTATTGTAAAGCATCTTCAATGTAATGAACACTTTCTTCAAGGACGGAAGGGGTGGCAAGATTAAATCCAGTTTGCTAAACGGTGTTAAAGGGGATATGGGTAATAAAAAAAAATTGCATTCAACTTGCAACCGCGCAACTTGGTGAAAGAGTTAAAGTGCTTAACTAGGTCATCAAGAACCTAAAGTAGGGTTGGGAGCATTTTAACTCAACGTATGGGCTAATTCGAGGACATTCTGGTTGTGAAACTACACAATACGCGCACCACTATGGCCTCTTACGAAAGATGTAAATCTCTGAAAATTACAAACGACACTGTGTGATAAATACCTGGAATGCAAACGAAGGCGGCCGTGGGTGGAGAATTAAGCACACCAAACCCAGATTATGAGCTTGGAAGACTATTCAAGCCCATAAGACCGGAAGCACAATGACGGTTGTACGATTGATGGAACCGGAGAGGTGGCTTCAAGGGCGTTTTGAAAACAAAAACATCTGATAAGACTTCAAGACCGCGAAAGAGACAAGAAAATCCTGAATAATCTACTGCGCTCAAAAAGGTGAACGAAGTCCCTCGGGAAGAGAAGATGATTAGGCCCTATTCACCAGGGTGCTGACGGGGAGCAGTTTCTGAGGATTGCACGAACTTCTATCGTGGAAATTTTCTTGGTGAAAATATTATAAATAAGAATGAACTTAACTATAATTGTGCAATTCTTAGAACATGTAGTTCAGCGATTCCAAATGAAGTAATACAATGATCCCACCAGTGAAAAAAGGGGATGGTAAAATACTTCGGTCATGGGCGGATCAATTCGATGAATTTTGTTTTCTTTTATGGCCGAGGGTGAGATATTTCCTCGTTTTCGTGAAAGCCTGTTTTCATTTACATGGATACACTTGCCAAACAGACTAGAAACGCACAAGCGCCGGCTCAAAACGCACGAAGGGACATAAGGATTTCCTTGGCAACTTATGAGGTAAAGGAAATGGGACTCAAAACGAAATATGTAACAGAACAGTTTCTTTGATGATATACTCCTAAAAATGCCTTTTAAAAAGGCGGTTAGGCACAGTAATTTATGACAAAATAAATTTCAGATTCAAACAATTTTATTGCTTTATGTCAATGATATCAAACATTTTAACTTCAGTAGCTATCTACATAGAAATAAACTGAAAATAATAGCTTTTGCAGCAACTGACATGTTTTGTCCGTTAAAACATAACTGTGTATTTTTTTTTTGCATGACGTAAACTGATTGATGTCTTCATTTGTCGGTTTCTCAGTGCGGCCAGGTACCCGTGGATAAAACACGTTTGTTCAGATATCTTGAGGAAAGTCGATGCTTCGCTTTTTCTTGTATGGATCAGAATCAATAGGGATGCACTGCCCTTCATAACAGGCAATGGGTGTTCCGTTGCAGTCGTCCAGCTCACAGGGCATCTCATCGCTACAGGGGCTGTATAAATTACAACCACTTCGCTTTGGACGCTCGTGCTAAGATAAAACGGGAATAAAACTGTGATTAAAATAATAGCAAGGAGTGTAAAAGAGGCTTTTCTAGCTACCTTATTTTTGTTGGCAATTCAAACTGGAAAATGATTTTTGTCAGACCAGTAAGCCCTACTGATGTGTCCCTAATGGAAGCACACTCAGCGGTCATTTCATACTTTGTCTAGTTTATGTTCTTTCACAAAATTAGAATTACAACCAAAAGCTGAGTCGATTCTGGATGGTTAACGATTGCCAGTGATAATCGGGACTTAGGCATTTTTTTGCACACGCTGCACTGAAAAAACTCCCTTTGTAAATTAACGAGTTCAGCTCGATAATACCATGAAAATCCAGAATATATTTAATTTTGTCATTGTAGCCCGAAAGCAGTGATTCTTGACCTATTGAATCGACAATCTATGTGTCTTGTGTTTGTTAAAAGTTAGATTTGAAACACATGCGCAGGGCACAAAATCTGTCAATTTTGTTTTTTTCAGGGGCATCGAAATCTCGATCAGGACTAAAACTAAATTAACTGACTGCGGGTTACTGTTATTGTGGATTGACATTTGCTTCACTTCATTGGGACTTATTGCAAAGCCAGAGATGCGAGAAAAAAATTTTCCAATGTCCTGCACGGATTAATTACTGACATTAAAGTCTTCACGAATTATCTGGACTAATCACGGAGACATTTCAGTGACTTACAGTAAGACTGAACTGGGATCTTTTTTGAAAGATAATTTAGAGAGGCAAAGTGATAACTGTCGAAAACATACACATTCGTTGACTTTTTTTCGATTAATATAATCATTTACATAAGCTTACCGTTTCTCTGTTGGGCCTAAACATATTTCTAGCCATTAGTTCCCCAGTGCAAAAAGCCAGAAAAAGAAAGGCAATCAGGAATATTTTCTTGTTCATGGTTTAGCTGGGCGATTGCTGGATCTGACTGTAAAAAAGGCGATAGCTAGTCGTTAACAGTGAATCTGTTGTCGACGATCGAGAGCAGAGATCATTTAGAGCTGGCTTCTAAAGGCGCAGCCTGTTTTATTGCGTTTTTTTGTTAAGTGGCATTGTTCTTTCAGTTTATTACTCACTGCGCCATGGCAAACAATTACGTCTCGGTAATCACAAAATTTTGAATGAACAAGGAAACCTCAACTCTTAGGTGAGGAAGCAGAGTTTTACGGAAGCACGTCAAAGACAAAAAAACTAAACACGAAAATAGACTTGGCAGTTTTCTGAAGGAAGCGGTCATTATAAGGACAGCCTTCTCTCATTACAACGACCAATATATTCCACTAACCTTTGTTTAATTTTTGACAACTTCTTCAAATAGTTTAAGTACAAAAATCTATCATTACGAAGCTTGAATTAGTAAGTAGCACAAGTGTTGTGTTTGCGCTTATAGCCTCAAGCAAAACTGATAAATCGAAAGAATCGCAAAAGAACTGGAGTAAATAGAGAGAAAAATTAGCAATAATGCTGTTACATTTAAAAAAATTACATTCAAATAAGTTCAAATGAATTATAATAAGTCATGAGGAATCGCTAATCGAATCCATTTGAGTAGTTGTCGAAAACACCGTAATATTTACTTTCTATTGTTTTCAAATCGTTATCAGCAGGTTAATTACACGAATTTGCGTTTAAAAGGCGATGCGTTAATTGCAGCTTGGGAAAGGACGCACATGCCACGAAAAATAGCTGTATTGACAACACACGATAACGCAATGTTTCACTTCAGAAAATAAATCGCTTTATATTTGCCGTCTACATTTGGGTATATCTTATTAGTTGTATGTCACAGAAACTGTTATATTCGACTGATCTGATATTTCAGTAAATCAACTCTATGAATATATGGACATCAGTACATATTTTACACACGTGCAAACGTGCACATTCATTTTATTTCATGCTCCAAGTAGTAATATTTTATTGGAATGATACATTTACTTACGCACTTGATGTAAATAATCTTACTGACAGGTACGTTTCAGTTATAAAGGACTGGATTCGTTTCCGCTCCTTGTTCAAGTAGTTGTTTGTCGCAACACATACACGCAAAAGTAACAAAATTGTAGCGTTCTTCGAAGCAGGATATAGACAGTTCTTTCCTTACTTTGGTAAATCTATTCGGAGCGATGAAATACGTTTGAGGAAACCACTCTCGCTCTGTAGGCTTAGGGTTCAATTTCGTGTCATATTATTGTTCAGTAGGAAATTTTTTAAGTGCTTTTATGTCTTTAAAGACAGCTTAAGTTAAGCTTTCTAGGCGCCAAACTGAGAATAGAAACTTTGAGCCAAATGAAGTCGGAAAATTGGTGGCCTCTGACGTCATTAGCCATATTGTCGGACGTGTCCACAGATTAAGATTAGACTGTAATTAATTCTCTGTACGCTCTTACACAGAGCGGAAACAAAACTAGACTTTCTAAAAATAAATGGCCGTGACGACCCCAAATATTTGTCATTGTTATTTGCAGGTTGTTATTCCCAGATCTAGAGTCAGTGGTTATCACTGAAGTCAGCTTAGAAATGTTCGAGCGTAGAGGGATCTTAAATATACACTAAAATTTAAAACTAATCTAAGACTATAGTTTATTCAAATCCAAGTATAAATCGCAAAATGTGATTCCAGAAAGAAAGAAAGAAAGAAAGAAAGAAATGTAGATATGGCTGATAGTAAAGAAATACTTTTAATTGGCGAGGTTTTCATTTTATACTGAATTAAGTTAATGCATATGGTCTCCATTATTTGTCGCACGAGTTCAATGTTAGCTGTATAAAAGTTTGGTGACACCTAAGAACAGTGTTCCTTGGAGTTGATGACTTTCATTTTCAGATCACATGTCATTAGTACGTTTGTTTGCTTGTTTACTTGCAGTCATATTGAATAAACGGCCACACTTAATTTCTAGTTTCTAACGAAAATTCACACCAAATGTCTAATTTCTAGCTTTACACACATAAGTTTAGATCGATGCCGCCGTTAATGATGATTTCGCAGTTTGCATAAATTCTATCATAATTTATTATCGGTTAATTACACTTACAACTTGAATTATGGCTGTCAGCAGTTGCTATTTTTCTCTTTGACTCGGATTTGTTTAAAAAAAAAATGTGAGGGTTTCACTGACTTCGCCTCACTTTCTTGAACATTCAAGTGTTTCTATAACTGTGGAATGAAGGTCTAAAAACAAACTTTGTCACGGTGATATTTCATTCAATATCCGTTTGAAAAGGTTGGGTATAACGAGTAATGGTCGATTTACAAAGAAAGGAAACAAATAAAAGTAACAGTTGCAGCACTGTGTTTAGACGGAAGCACGCAAAGCGAAGTCATGTTTCGTGTCTGAGAAAGGAAAGAAGAAAGATATCACTTCCTATGGGTAAAAGAGGTGTGCCTACGTGGGTGGTGTCATGCACTACGTTTACAGATACGGGTGCAATGCTCTGCACAATTCCGAGGGAGATTAATAATGCTGGATAAGCGAACATATACAGGATGAAATTGTTGAGCAGTCTTGGTCTGTCAAACATCAAGATTAGCTGAATTCGGAACAGTGCAGTCCACACGAAAAATGCATTATTAGTAATAAACGATCTACTTTTCTTTAGTTTTCCATTTTGTTTCAAAAACAACCGTAAAAATACAACAACTTTTGTATGCTGTCTAGCCATGATCAGATTTAAAAACATTCCGGTTTTGTGCCAAGATGGCATTGGTTTCCTGCTCGCGGCTCATGGGTGGCTGTTTATTACTGAGACCACCCATTTACCACCCATTTCCCCAACTCTGGTATCTCAAAACCGTCCGGCAAATTCTTTTCAAGTATAACTATCGCGCTTTTAAGTGAATTCGTTGCTTACATCTATTTGATTCGTTCGCGATTATAACGTTACTTTAAAATAATTCCAAAGACACCACTTCATTCTGAAAAATGTTTTCGATTCGTGTCATCGAAAATTATCCTTTCAAGTTACCGTAGAAACGTGAAATAAAGTTAATTTTTCACATAATTAACAGAAAACAATGATGATTTGTTTTCTTTTGGCCCTCGATCCGTATCGAAAAGGTTTCATCGAACACAACTAAAAAACGTTCTCCCTTGAACTAAAACTGATGTGGTAGTTTTTCAACGTACAGGTGGACTAGTCGACCGAGGGAATCTTTTCATGGTGTTTCCACTCTTATGTGTCCAAAAAACTGTCAAGGGAAACTTGTATTATGGACTTGAGTAGAATAACAAATATTTATTTTGCATTCCTGTGAAATCATTGTCCTTATTGAAAAGTTCGCAAGAAATCATTTTGCTAAATCTTAATAAACAGTTGTCACCACATGGCTTGCGGTACCGGATAGATAACTTTGATGTTCTTAAAAATTACATCCGCGTTAGACTTCTGTTAAGAAAAGTTTGATTGCAATTTTTATTTTGATAAACGCTGATAATTTCTGGATTTATAACTAATTTGTCAAATGGTGAACAGATATATATGAAAAGAGTTCTCGATATATGACCTAGGTGTATGAAATGTAGAATGTTTTAATATGCTTAGCAGGTATATACAAATGTGAGAGTCTCCAGGTAATGAAAATATGTAATGCTTTCATGAAATAAAACTTTGTACATTTAATATCCCTTAAGCGTCAAAAGAATGAAAGTTTGACGATCATTAGGTATAATACTATTTCTTATTTCAGGGGCTTTTAACAATCAAATTTTAAACATGCTTTTAATATTTGCTTTAATTAAAGTTGAATAACGTGTTCTCACTTGAAAATTCATGGTAATATCTCGTTTTTATCAAAACTAATTAAAATGATTTGATTCGTTTAGCTCGGTAGAAACGTTTGATAAGTTGAATTTGTATTTGCCAGTCTTGAAGTGTAGATTGTTCAGAATGCGGAAAATGAACATAGGCTCACGCTGCTTTAACTATATAGACACTCAGAAAGTTCACTGTTCATTAAAAGTTCTTCAAAGCTTGAATATATAAATGGTGAACAAGTTGTAACTAGAGATAAAACATGACGTGCTAGCAGATTCACTAACTGGTACAAAGATAGCTTGGTTAAAAATTAACAATTTTTGTCTTTTCCTCTAGTGTACCAAGCAAAAGATGAAACAATTAATATTCCCCAAGCCCCCCCCCCCCNCGAAATGTCAATCATTTGTCATTGAATTATTCTCCCTTTTAAACAATAACATGTGGCCTAGCGATAACTAGCCACTCGGCAGTTCTCAATATTACTACATCCATGAGAAACCCAGTGATTCCAAAGCAATTTTATCCTTAAAAATAAATTGCTACGTTTGAATATAGTGACACTACCTTACTGTACCCTGCAAGTCTTTTCAAGAGGTCGAGAAGACTCTGCGGCTAAATTTTATGTTTCCGTTAACTTGAAATTTGAGCGACCAATTTTTTGGGTTGATTCCGTCTTGATTCTCTTTGAATTTGTGCTCTTTTACCTTCGTAAACACCGTGAGGTAACTTTTATTAGAGTCGACAAGTTTTGGCCTCCAATGCATCGAAGTAGCCCTGATGTACGAAACAGTGCCGGAGTATTCACAGTTTTTTTTTTTAGTGTATATAACTATAAAATGCAGATTCACAGTTTTACTACTCCACTTAAAAAGTCATCTGAAAATTTATGGAAGTGTGCTAATTGAAATACGTAAATATTTTGATCAACGGTGTGTTAAAAACAAAACTTGACTGTTTAAGCAGTGTAAGAAACGTTAACATGATAACACATGTAGGCATCACAACTGCTTAACTTCGCTTTACCAAGAAGGCACTGGCATACTACACCTCTAAAAACAACAGTCAAGATTATCCAAAGCTTACCTGTCAAGCCGACGACTGTGTGTGAATGAGTTTTCTAGAACTGTAAGCTTTATATATTACTTGTCGAATATGCCATAGTAATAAAAAGCGAGTTATTTATGGACTCCTCAAGGCAAAAGGATTATGAATTATTACTAGTTTTAATTACTTTACCGGAACAATAGATCTTGGCCGCTTCCGCGTGGCAATGCCATTCAGTCAAAGCTGAACGTTTGATAACAAAACCCGCCGGCGGTTTAATTTGGAAAAGCAAACAGAGGATGAAAACGTTACTGAAATCTTTGCAAATCAAAAACAACTTGTTTCCTTTATGGTGTTTTTCAGTTGTGCTGAATGTTTCGAGTTAGAATCCCACTTGAACCAGAACTGAATTATTTAATTTCGAAGTCATTGCAATAAACGTATATTTTAATTTTTGTAGTTTTATTTTTTGGCTTTCAATAGTTTTGGAACGATTTCTGTTCTGACACGAGTCTACAATTGATATACAATCATCCAATGTGCAAAGCTGTCTTGATCTAAACTGGTAAAAGATTAATTGTTCGATTATTGGTGGGATTAATACTTCGAAATTCTAGCCTTTCCGATAAATATCGAAGAGGTACTGATAAGAAATGTAAGTTATTGCGATTACAATTCGGTAAGCCGAACCTATTTCCGTGTTATATGACGAAAAGGACACGAAAACGAAAACTTTACTAATATACTATTTGAACACTAAGCTAAGTCCGTAACACTATTATATCGACATCTGCTGATGTTGAGTTTGATAAGAATTTTTTCTGTAGAATTTATTTTGTAGTGCTACACATAACAGCTCCTTGCTCGATCGAAATATAAAGTCTCCCGTTGATTTTTATTCATTTCATTTAATTATAGTAATGGGATTTTTGTGCTAGATCTAGAAAATATGATCTAGTTGTTGTTTGTTCCTTATTCGTTTATTAAAATGGTTATCTTTGTTATGCTTCTTTTACACGGAGGTCTGCAATTACATACACTCTCACGTCTCCATGACTGAGATATCGATAAAAAACGTCAATGCCTCTTTTATTTCGTGTGCCATAGAAAAACATAACAAAACACTTAATCTTCCTGTTGAAATCAAACCTGTGACTCTAACGATACCATCGAAACACGTCTCCAGATAGTGACAGTATAAATTAACATGCACTTGCAGATGATTTGCAAAACTATAATCAAAAGCGCATTGCTTTTGAAAATTTGAAAAAAGAAAACAACAACAACATCAAAATATGTTTAACAGAGAACCAACAACACGTCTATGTCGGAAACCATAATGACATTCTATCTGAGCTCAGCTGAAACGAATTTCCTCAACTTTAATAGACCTTTTTAGCTTGAGCGGTTTGTCTTCCCATTTCAGACCACGTAATATTTCCTCGAGCAACCAAAAACAATTTTGTTAACAACTTAGGTTTATGATGTTATTGTGTTAACTAAATCAGATTAAAACCTTTTTAGCAAGTGTTTAGTTAAGCAGTGCAGTCTTTTAGAGAGTGCTTGAATGGGAACTTCTTAGCTTGTGAAAAACAATTTTGATCAGTTTACTGAATCACTAAATTATTTGTAACTAAATGTGTCAGGTACAAACAACTATCTCTTGAAATGGTTTATTAATCGACCTTTTGCCCCTACAAGTCTTATTCAAATGCAATCTAAGCCTGGTCAAGCCTTGCAGAGGAAATTCTTCAAACTGATGTGTTCTTTATTAAAAATCACTCACGTTACAGATTGAAAGACGAGAACACACACTATTGTGTCATTTTCGGATGCTCCAAAGACAATATTCAAATTTAACAGACATTTTGCAACCGACTATCCCTGAAAACTGTCCAAACATGTCTTGCAAAATCAAAAACGTTCTTTTTCTTCAAGTTATTACAAGCACAGATTTTTTACAGTCTAAGTACAGTTTACTCCTTTCGTGACCTTTTGGATATGCCATGCCAAGGACTACATAAAACTGTTAGGGATCTTGATTCCAAAGATTTTCACACACTGAGGTCAGAGGATCAAACATGATATAAGTTGGTGCTCACCTCAATAAATTTTTGATTTCAACTATCCGTGGTTCGTTTTCTTCGATCGGGTAATTGACTTTTTTTCAATAATTATTATTTCAGTCTGTAATTATTACTGACTAAGGGAAAATTGAAAAAAATAATTTGAAAAAAAAACAACAACGAATTGAAAAACAATTAACAAACTGGAAGAGGACGAAACACGCATAGTGGAAATCAAAAATTATTTTAAATTATTTTAGCTGAGCTCAGGAACTAACTACAACATATGTAAAAAGTTACACTCAATTTTGGTACTTTCGATATTCAGATTAAAGTTAAGGTTCTTAAACCTTATGCTCCTCAATATCTTTTTGTGTTTGTTAACTGTAGAATATCGTTATTGAATATGCACAAAAAGAAAGAGCAAGACCTACACTGTAATTCCTTCAAAAATCGAACGATCCTTGCGAATCCTTTTAAATATTACAATTTTACTTAAATGTATGTTATGTAACACCTTTCTGTAATTTGTTTTTGAAGAGGATAACTGACATTTATGATCCAGTAAGTGTTTTACCATCCTATTTATCCTGTAGCCGTATAAATCGGCACAACTGTCAAACGTTTTCATACTGAATTTATTTATTCTGTGGAAAGGCACACAGCGATTTATCAACCATGAGATCACTCCAGCTTTGTCTGATAAGCTGAGGAAAAGGGTATTCTGAAACAAGACAAAAAAAGAATTCTAATGTTTCCCATTGTGACTTCGATATATATATTTTTTTATAATTTATAAGTGAAAATGATTCAGCAGATAAATAAAATACTCTTATATTAGTAGCTGCCATTTTAAAAATACGTGACGATTTTTGCGGTTTAGGCAAAAATGTCACGAAATTACAGGACAATAAGTTCTCTCTGAGCAAGGAGGTAGAGGGAGGCGCGGTGGCCTCATGGTTAGTGTGCTCGTCTCCGGATGGGTTCGAGCCCTGGCCGAACGTTGTGTTCTTATGCAAGATACCTTACTTTCACAGTGCCTCCCTCCAGCCAGCGAACGTAATGCTGGGGGTAACCCTGCGATGGACTGGCAACCCATCCAGGGAGTAGTAGAAATACTCCTAGTCGCTTAATACTACAGAAACCGGGATACATATGTAAGCTCCGCCCCGATGGGTCACTTGGCTCGTATGCTGACTTTTTTCCTAGTAAGGAGGTAAGCTTATTCAAACACGAGAAGACGTCTCCGTGCAGCCAAACCAACCTTACGTAACCACGTTTCTCATAATGCAGGAAAAAAAATTACCTTTCTGCATGGGATTCGCATTGTCGGTATTGGACTGGAAATAGCTTGCATCTGAGGTTAATGCAGGGAGTCTTTTCAAGTGCAAATGACATTAATCTCCTTTTAATGATATTCCCTCGCATGAGCCTCGACCCATTGCAAGCTAGTTCCAGTCCATTGCCGAGAATACGAAAATGGCCTATTATCGGATCTACAGTCTTCCAGTTACCACAGAAACGGTTATTACCTCAGGAAAAGGCACTCAGTTGGAGGTTTTAACGTTAAGACCTCCTCCTCGAGGAGCAGCGTCCTTCAGAGAACTCAATATCATCGACGGCGATATCTCCTCTGTATGAGCGGCCAACTGAACCCACAATTGCGATCTAGGAGCGAAAAGATATTGCGACATTAAAGGACCACTAGATTGCGAAGTTAAATGATTATGCTTATTAGTTCCCTAGCCTCTAACTTCTAGGTAATCGTTTCATACCGTAAAATTCCGAAAGCAACGTTTAACGACCATCGTTACGTTCAGAATTAGCCAGCAGTCTTTGAGGTTGCTCGCTTCTTTTGTGGGCTCGTTACTTTCGGGGAGCAAAAAAAGGTTGCATTGCATGTAAGTTGGTGCGTCCACTTTGGCTTATGCAGGGCAAGGTTTTCTTTCAAACTGTTTTCATATATCCAGACATGCATACAAACTGACTTTAATGAACTAATATGAAATGGTGAACTGCATCTTGCGATTCGTGTAAGCCACAAAGCAAACATCCTACCCAATGAACAGTTCCTCGTCGCACAGATCGGACCACTGCAAGTTCAACTTCAGCTAGCAGCCATTTGTCGACACTTATCTCAGATCTTTCCCACTCTTTGTGCAGTTCCTTCTTAAAGTCCTTTCGCGTTGGTATATGGTCATCTTTTTCCTGCTTCACAATCCGCATAACTGTCAGTGATCCAGGATCACCGTACATGTGATACCAGAACTGCATGCAGAAAGACCGGCCCTCAAGTTTGACACGAAGCATGGCTTCATGTCCCGGTCTACGTGGACTGGAACTTTCAATGTAAATGTATTTGCCTTCTTTCGAACGCCGTTGCGGACCTGCAATAAGGGAAGAGTGGCGTGGTAGTCCTGATTGTATAACAATAGTTCAGAAACATTATACGTAGGTAGCAATGATTACCTCTTGAGAGTGTGTGATCAGAAGATGGCCCAGTTCCAGACGATGGTGTTTTTCCTGAATGAATCGTCCAATCAAACTGGTCATCCTTAACATCGAGCCATTTGCATTTCCCTGTATCAACTTTATTCTTACTTTCAAAATTGCAGTTTCCTTAATGAACAAAGAAAAATGAAAAGATAAACATTAATTACACGATCTGAGAAAGAGTTTATTTACTCCTCGATACCCCATTCCCTATATGAGACGCGCTTAGGGAATCATGATAATATGCAATGTCTCGAAGATGTCGTGCGCGTGATGAATACAGCTACCATGCAAGACTCCCTTCGTCATGCAGGGAGTCATGCATAGGGATAATGGCTCACTGTTACTTTCACTTTAATACTCGGTGCTCTGCAATACATTTGCACACAGGTAATGTCGCCAGTTTCTTTACGCAAATGCCGGGTTTTGTCTACTTCAGTTATGAACCAAACCACACTTACACAACTACTTTCTATGCATTTTTCTGCCGTCGCTTTGCTTTACTGCGGTTATAAGGGAGTGAAACAACAAGCTTAACCGGAGAACTTATTGGAAGCAAAGGAAATATTGAGAGCTTTACGGCAGGACACGCATGTCCTGATTGAATCAGACCATTCGGAAGTTATTATCCAGCATCTTTCAACAGAGAATAGCTGGCCATAGCCGCTATAAATAGCAAACTCACCTTCCTTGGGATTGCCTCCCACGTCTCCCTGTTTGGGCCCCAAATTTTTGCATTCCTCAGCATCGCTAACGCTAACTTCATCAAGGGAAATGTCACCAAGATACGAGTTGCCCCGGACACCTACAAATGATACCTTTAACAGAAGAAATGAAAAAAAAAAAAAAAA